CTTCCCCTTTGGTGTGGTTTTAAAGCTTTGCTACAAGGCATAGCTTTACCAGATACTGCATTCCTGACATATCCTCTATATGCATCAAGTAGCCGTTGCGCACATCTGTCTGTCTGTACCCAGAGAGATGGATGCACAGATGCAGATCCATTGTCTCTCAGTCAGCCTGGTTGGGTGAACAAGATGTGTGTTGCTTGGTCTTGCCACTTGCAGAAGCAGCTTTCATCTAGATCTGTGTGAAGTCAGCAAAAGGTCTCAAGAACTGGAGAGAGTTGTGACAGCTGAGCCCTTACTAGAGCAGGAACCATAGAGGCCTCAGCCACTTCCTTTACCCTTTTCTAAAATTTAGATTTCTGTATCCTCACTCTTCATCCATGGATTAATGATTTACCTTCTATAGACTCCTTCACTTTCCTGCCACTTCCCAAAGCTCGGTCTTTTCTTGAGCTTTATGATAACTTCTCCATTTCCCTACGTATCCTTCACTGGATTTTCCACCTTCTTTTATGCTCATGCAGGGTTTTTCTCTGTCTTGCCTTCTCTCTGGTCTTTGAGTCTCCATACATCAGCATGGCTTTTACTTGAGTGGATGTTCCATTTCCCTGCCTGTCACATTTCATCCACCATTACTGGCATGGAGCACAACCATTACATTCTGGGGAGTTTCTAGAAATTTCAAATGTGAATAACTTCACAGGGTTGCAGAACAGGGTCCTAGAAATCCATCCTCGGTGCTAAAGCCTTGTTCTTGAGCTCATCAGTTGGTGCATGTTGAGTGTTCGCTTGCTGGTGTAGATATGGCCTTGGTGTGCGTCTCATGCAGTCTTTCCACTGCTGTGTGAGAGACAGCGCTCTGCTTTCTGAACATCAGCATGCCTCCGCTAGGATTGAATGAGTTCAAAAAGCAGGCCTGAAGGCTTTGTGGGTTGGTGTTTGCAGTGAAGGCGGGTGGGTTCACTTGTCTCTTTTGAACCCTTTTTTGTCCTTTTTTTACTTATTGAACTGAGCGACATTTGTCAGTGCTTTCCTATTTCCTACCTGCGTGCCAGACAGCTGTGCTTGCAGCAAGGCTGTATGTGATCAGACAGAGAACGAAGGAGCTCTCCTTGCACACGTGTGAACACACCCACACGCGCCAGCGCTGCAGCGTTCCCACGGTTCCAGTCCCAGCAGCACTTCTATGAAGTAGCTGGAAGCTAGAAGCGGCATTCTGGGTACTGACACACAAATGAGCACAGGAGGCCTCCCACTTGATTTCACAATGCCTACCAACCCAGCGCTGCCACAACACGCAGCTCTCAGCTGGCGCAGGGTTTAGCCAGGTCAAGTGTGCAGCCGAATCAAAGGGCAGAAATTGCTGCGAGTAGAGTAGTTCAGTGCTGAGGTGTGGGGTGGCTGTGGGTTTTTAGGGGCTGCACTTCAGGGCCACCTGAAGTGCTGTAGTAGTAGAACTAGAAGGCATATATTTCTCTTTTCTGTATCCTGAAGTCCTGCCTCCTGCCAGCAGTAACCTTCTTTATTTGTTATATGGTATATAGTTTTCACATATATATATTTATTTGCTAACAGTATATCCGATGGTAGGTATAGCAGAGAGACTCTTGACTTTATCTACAAGTTCAGACCACTGGATGTATTTATTCTTTTTCGTAAGAGCTAACTTGATAAATACTCCTGGAAAATTTTGCTTAAGACTGGAGAGTTCAGTTGTTTTATTATGGAGCAATGAAGTCATTTGTTCTCTTACCTGCTGCTCAAGAATTACATTAGAGACCCTTCAGTAAAAATTTTGATGTCCCTAAACAAAAACATCAAAGTCTTGAGGCAGTAGCTTAGTTCAGAATCCTTTTACTGGATACTTCAAAACAGACACCACGC